TCTCTCTCTCTCTCTTTCTCTCTTCCGTAGGACTTCCCGACTCAAGACACACGTGACCCCCTCTCGTCTGGCGTTGCCTTGGGCTGAAGACAATCCCCTTCTTCCGACTTTGAGCTGTTGGGTGCTCGCTCATGCTTGCTCGGTCTCCCCTGCGCTTGCCTTCTTCTCTCAGAGTTAGACGGCGTGTCGAGGCCCGACAATAAAAACCGGCTCGTACTATCAGAGAGATTCATGTACAGTACGATGTACTGTACCACTTGCTCTCGCAATCTCTCACTCACCCTCCTCTTCCCCCAGGCATAGGGGTGGGTCAATGAGTCAAGCCCCCTTGCTCTCTCCAAGCTAGGCCAAGCATGGAGTCCTTGGCTTTCGGGCAAAGAAAGGCCAGTCGGAGCTTCTCGGCGACTTTTCGCCTGGTTGTGACCGCCTCTAAGCGGACGCCCCCCCAGTTCCCCCTATGCCAAGCCTTGAAGCAGCCGTGAGAAGGTGGAAGAACGTGGATTTCGGGCAGAGAGGCCGAGACGGTCGCCGAGGGAGCTCGTCGGGCCGTTGCGCGGCGGCTTGGGGGCTTTTGGATGCTTCCGAGGTTCCACGCGAGATCCCAACGCGGTGGCAGTGGCCCCCAGGGTGACTGCGGCCTCTCCTCGCTCCCCCTCTTCGCTTTTGCTCCAACTTGTGGCCGTCGAGGTCGTCGGGGATGCGACCTTCTCCTTCGAGCCGAAGCGCGAGCGCGGGGGCAGAGGGGCCGTCTTCTCCATCTTCTCCCTCGGAGGCTGCGGAGGCTGCGGGGGCTGTGGCTGTCGATCCTTTCTGGGAGGTCTAAACTTGCCAGTGGCGCCAGCGGCGCTCACAGCGGCTGCTCTTTCCTTCTCCAACAAGTCGCTTGGCAGCTCCGTTAGAGACAGAGCTTGAAGCAGGTATCCGTGAGCGGCAGACAGTTTGGCCTCCAACTCTTGGATTTTTCGGTCCTTGGGATCAATATTGACCTGTGGCGCATTCCTGATGCAGGCAGCTTGAGATGCATACTGCAACGTACTCAGATTCTCATCATCATGCCGTTCCGATGCTGCGAGGCAAGCAAGCATGATCAAGTAGCTGTTGCCGCCCAAGCTGTTTTGGAGCAGAGATGTGAGCTTTGACTCGCGGTAAGGCACGTGGGTGTGGTCAGTCACATTCTGGCTGTCCCGTTTGCTTAGAGCAGTGATCACCCGCCGCAAGACAAACAGCGATTGATTGACATTAACTGCCTCCACAAACCGAGCACCACTCGAGGTCGTATCCGTGCTGGCCAGGGTCCGTTCAGAGCCAGCCAGATCCACCAAAGAAAGCTGAGAAACAACTTCTCGTCCCTGGCCAGATTCCAATCCCTCCCTTCGCAGCACAGTGAAAACCAGGAGGGTGTGCGATCTGGAGGAAGCCACGTTCATGGTGGTCGACGCCACCTGCTTGTTGGCGATACCATCCTGGTAGTGCTGCAAAGCCTCTTCTGCTGAACCGCACTCGTACTGAAACAGGTTTTCCACGAAGAAGTGCCGCTTCATGCCATCCCAGCGCATACGAAGCCCGCCCAAGTCCTGCAACTGAACAACACCAACACATTAACACACGGCAAACAGCTGAGTGGTTGAGTAACGACACACAACGCTTATGGTAGGGCCATGGTATTCAGCCAAGTCCTCGCCACCGCGCGCGGCTTCACGCTGGGACACGCTCGAGATTGGATTGAGCAAGTCGAAGATCTTTTCCTTGTAGATCTGCAGAAAAGACACCCGGACAACGACACCGGAGACGCCGCGAGGTTCGTCCCCACAGCCGTCAGCTCCGCTTGCTGCGTTCATTCCGTCGGGCGGCTCAGACCGACGAGTCTGTAACTTCTCGAAGAGCGCTCGCACGGCTCGGGGCACCATGCCCAGCTGCTCCGAGGGCGTGGAACGAGCCTCAAGGAAGCCGAAAACCGGCAGCAACGATTTCGGAGGGCTTTAGGCCTGGGCTTTGATGTTTGGAACACTTATGTACAGTAGGACCGTAGGAGTGTGAGAGCGACACGCAGCCTTGACTCTCGGCCGCGCCGAGGTGGCGTTCAATGAGGGGGCGGCCTGGCTCGTGTCGTAGTCGAAGCCCTCCATAGTGAAGGTCTTCCCGGTGCCCGTCTGTCCGTAGGCGAAGACCGTGGCATTGAAACCCCTGCAAACCTTGGAGACAACGGAGTCGATTTTGGACATATCCCAGGCCTCCTGCTGAGATCTCTCGGGGCCAATCACGGCATTAAACTGAAAGTGCCGATTTCGCCGACCCTCCGTTTGCAGGCAGATGCCCATGCCCCCACTCGGGCTTTCCCTGACTTCCATGGCGCTTTCCTTGTAGCCTTCAGCTCGCTCCCATGCCAGCAGCGGCCGCATACGGATGCACACTTGCACCGCAGGCACCACGGGCACCGCAGGCACCGTCTCAAGCGGGGTCTCGACGGAGTCGCCGTGAGCCGGCGAAGCCGCCGGCCAAGCCGCCGGCGAAGCCGGCGAGGCCGAGGAAGTCGCATTAGACTCCAGATTTGAAGGCTGCGACGGTGGAGGCAGTGTTGGCTGCGAGCCTGCGCCGCCTTCAGCACCAGCATCGCCTCCAAGCTCGGGGTCGGGCACCTCGGCACCTTCTTCGCTCGCAGCTTTCGCAGCTTTAGAGCCCTCCAGGTGAGGGCGACCGCCGCTGTCAATGCAGCATGGCCTGCAGGCGAAGGGCAGCGGTCAGGCGCAGGCAATCGCCCCAAGAGCTTTCGATGTCGGCAGTGCCCTCTGAGGCGGGGGCGCACTGGCGCTTCGGGTGCTTCGTGAGGGGCCCTGGGCCAAGGCGGCGTCCTCGCCCGCGGGAGTTCGGCAGCGCGGCGTGCACGGCGCGGTCTTCGCGCCTGCCTTTCACAGCTCAGAGCTTTCAGAACCACGCAGCACGTAGGCCGCTTTGAGTCTTCTCTGCCAAGTGGCCAGCATAGGCTCGCGGAGCCAGCAAAGCGCCGCTGAGCAGAAAACGGCCGCAGAACGGAGGCCGTCATGCCCGCAACCTCCATGGTCGCACGTGCTCACAGCTGCTCACATGTCACAGCTCACGGTCAGCCGCCAAGGACAAACAGCACAGAATGTTTTCGGGGAGCTGCGCAGGCACTTCGGAACTCTCTGTCCCGGGGCTTGCCCCCATGAAGGTCGTCTCCCCTGCACCTCGTCTCGAGCTAGCGAGCGCAGCAAGGCAGAGCCCGGCGAGAAGGGATAAAGGCAACATCACATTTATCGTGTGATCAAGTATACATCAGCATAGTGTTGCTTTCGACAATACTGCTCTATGAGTCTATGGCTATGGCTGGACGATGCAAGGCTGCGGCAGCGAGTACGTCTCTGCCTTCTCGATTGGCTCGTTAAGCTGTGGCCTCAGGCATCGGCTAGTCGGCTAGTGCAGACCTTCCGAACACTCCGTGCCCTCAGAGGGTCAGACCGGCGTTAGCTTCCAGGGAATCGAGCTCCTGGCAAGGTCGCAGCAACCCTTCTACAGCCTAAAAGATCCATAGTATGAGCTCCCAAGGCCAGCGAACGAGGCTGGGACCCTGCCTGGAGGCAATCCGCCAGGCCTCAGCACCAAACCCACCAAACTCTTTACGAAGTGCCTTGGACATGACGACATTTCCTACAACAGGCCTATGCCCAACTAAGGCACAGGCGGCGAGAAGACGCCGGGGCGGCTCGGCAACTGAAACAGAAGAGGCACAGACGATCAAATGTTCCAACAATGAGGCCTGTAGAGTCTAGTGACTAGTAGAGGCTTGATGGAAAGCTGCTCTTAGAAGCATTCCTGGTAGCTCTCCTGCGGGAGGATCCCGTGCCCAGCTGCGGCCGAAGGTGGTGGTGGAAACAGCTTCGCCAGAGCCGCAGCCTCAGCGCATCCCTGACTACGAACGACCTTCCTCTCATCACCGCATCGACGCACCGGGGATCTCCCCGCCCCCCCCTCCCTGCGCCTCGTCGCCAGAGTTCTGCGACATGGCTGGAGGCCTTGGAGGCTTCGGTGGATTTCGGTGGTGAGCCGGTTTAGATCGTTTCGGACTCCCAGGCGGTCTGGGCTCCTGGCTGGAAGTCGCTGGAGACATCCAGCTGCAACAGAGAGAATTCACCTAAACCTAAACCCCACCGTCGGACTGATTTCTGGGCGATAGTGCAAAGGGCCTCCTGTCTCCCCAACAGTCTTAACACGGTCCATAGCACAACCCCATGGCAATGCACAGACTCAAAGCAGCACTAGCACGTGCCAAAGATATCCCATGATCAGCTGCAGCGGTTCTTTCGGACTC